TATTTTTTATTTTCTTGAAAAAAAAATTAAATTAAAATACCATGCAGATCAAATATCTATCTGCACGAGCAGATGAAATATGCCCGAGCAGACGGATAGCAAAAACTGTCTGCCGGGCAGATAGTTGAAACTATCTACATTTTTTTTCAAAATATTTTATTTATTTATTATTTTTTTTTATAAATCTTTGACTTATATGTCTTGCACCTTCAAGTCTTCTTCTTCAATTTCCAATTGATAAGTGTGTTTTTGCACACTTATTTAGATTACAAACATGACTTAAATACAAGCAAAATGATTGAATTGTGACTTAATCTCATTGAATTCATGCAATGTAGGTGTTTCTATAGAAATAGTGGAATTTAGGATAATAGAGCCGAAAAAGGACTAAAATGGAGCAAAGTGATAGTTCAGGGACTAAGGATGCAAATATTCGAAATTTGAACTAAAAGACAACTCGGGAATGCAAATATGCTAAGTATGAACTCGAAAGCAATACAAGATGATTGGAAGAAGAAGGAATTGCAAAGGGACTAAAATGAATTAAACTGAAAGTTCGGGGACCAAGTTGCAAATAATTCATAGATGAGACGGGAAATGGAATGAAGATTCAAGAGTGTTAGAGGTCAATCGGATGAGTAAAGGAGTCACGAGGTGAAATAGGGTCGAAGTATTATCAAGTATCAACTTTCAGGCTAAAAAGCTATGCTCGTGATTTTTAGTATCTACTTGAGATCCATTTTTGACATAGTAAAAATCAGAATTTGAGGAAGCCTATTTCTATCAAAAGTGTAGATCTTTTAGTTTTCTTCACAATGCACTTTGAATCACTTCAATCGAAGATCAGGAGAGAAAGTTATGACCAAAATACTAAAAGCTGTCCAGCGGAATGAATTGTATAACTATGCGGTCGCATAGTATAAATTCTATGCGGTCGCATAGAAGCCTCCCGAGAACTTTTTCTCAAATTTTTTTACTCTATGCGACAGCATAGAAATGTACTATGCGGTCGCATAGGTATAATCTGGGGGCCGTTTTGCAGTTTCCTTATACGATTGAAACTCCTTTGGTAACCTAATTTCCACGCGATTTAAATACTAAAGAACGTCCAGAAGAAGGAGAGAACGTAATTGGAGGCACAAAAATACAATTTTGGAGGATTTGGAGAGGAAGAACAAGGCAAAAACAAGGCAATCCACTTCAAGATTCAAGATTTCACTTCAAGAATCAATTGGGTGATGTTCTTCCTTGGTTTTAATTGTTGTTTTTCTTTATTTCCAATTATGTTAGGCTAGATTTTCATGTGCTAGGAGATCGATGTACCATGTGATTTGAGTTTTATATTTCTAGTTTTGCAATTTGACATTAAAACATATTTCTTTTGTTTTGAATGATTTATATGCATTTATTGTTTCCGCAATTAAATCAAAATGATGGAGTCGTAATCCACCTATCTTGTTACAGACTCGAAATAACAAATTACAACAAAGACTGACCACAAATAGTTGGTTCACAGTTTAAAATAATACAATCATTCAATCAACATATAAAAATTTTCTAGACATCGCTCGATTAGAACATGCAATCAAGATTAAAAATAACAAGCACGTAAACGATCTAGATTGCTCTGATACTAGTTGTTGGAATGTGGAAGTTGAATTAATCAGAGATTAAAATTCTCTTTAATTCAATAAGCAAGATCGTCTAGATGTTCACGTGTATGTTATAACAAATTAAAGGATTCGAATCTTTTATCTAAGTTCAATGATCAACCTTGAATTAACTCTGATTCGCGAACTTTCGTCTCCTTTAATTGCAAGAATCTTGATACTTCAAACCTTCTACGTTATTCTCCAACAAAAAGACTATACCGACGTGTGGACACCTTCTTTCAATTAATGTAGAAACTAATTCTTGAATCTTGGATAATAAGAAAATAATATATTCTCGCCCTCTTTTTCTTTCTACAAATTTGAATCTTATGAAATTATGAATGTTGTAGTACTTTTCTATCCATCTAGTCTCTAATTATAGAGAAAAAAATGATAGAATTTTAGTACAATTATAATTCTACATTCAAACAAGAGTTCTAATTAAAATTCAAGTAGGAGTTCTAGTTTAAGTCCAATTCTAATTAGTTTACATATAATTGCATGTGTAGTCCTAGAATTTCAATTATAATTACAATTAAGTTTATAAGTTTTATAGTAATTACAACCAAATACAAAATTTTATTGTAATTATAATTAAGCCCAAAACTATTATGATTACCGTAATTAAGTTTCAATACTTTATGAAGCTACCACAGGGATCTGATTGAATATATATTTTTCAAACTCCAATAATTAGATCCTGTTTAGTCAACCCTAGACCACTTAATTTAATTATGAGTCTTTGCTTTTTCCACTAAAGTCAAAAGACTGAACTCTTGGAATATATAAGATCACAGAAGTCAATAAATCTGTAATACTTTCCTCTGACTTATTGTATATGTATTTTATCCCCTTCCGAGATCGGATAATTAGGTACGTGCATAAATGATCGTTTTACCCCTCTAATTATTCTCAGTAACTTAAGTTTCATTTTCTTCAGCGGTCCTGTGAACAAATCACAGATGTCGAAGTTTAGCGATTGCTAAACACTGAGCTCAGATTTTAGCCGTTCAACAGAAGATACTTAAGTAGTCACTCTACCCATTTTTCAGGATGACGATTCCTAACACGAATTTATGTTATCTACTCCGCTCATTCTCAAATTCCCAACTCATCGAAATATTTGACCAATCAAATTGATCTCACCTATTGATGAATCAAAAAACTATTAAAATCACAAAAAGATATACATAATCCTGTCAAGAAATTCAGATAAAATACATAACGGTCAAGTGGAATTTAATTCTCCGCACGGTCACGCTATATAATTAAATTCGACACGTGGTCCGTTCAATACACTCCAAGCGTACTAGTATTATCTTTAACTATTTTTGTGATAAGGACAAATTACAACTTTGAATAGTAAATTGGTCAACACTACAACCTTCTAATATAAGGTGTCAACTCTTATACATTGATTGTGAACAAATTATTTATGATCAAAATATAAGTTGTGTCACACTGTACTTCTCAACGCAAAAGTACCCAACTCATATTATCACAAGTGATCACAGACACTTTAATTTCGCGTGCTCAATAATAAATAAATCAATAAATAAAGTAAACATAATTTTATTCAATATAAAAAATTATTATTGTT